GAACCCTGCCACGTAAGCCCGTTTCAGGTGGGGACCATCCCTTCATCAGCTGAACAACGTAACCAAAGCCAGAGAGGGAGTCTCCGTGGGAGAGCTATTCAGGGTCCCTAGGTTCTTGGTTTCCCTTTCCTTGTCGCAGACTTTCTTCCCAGAATGAAGGAGAATGAATCCGTTTCTGGCTGGGAGGGGGCCGTGCCGGTTGGCAAAGCAGAAGTGGTTTTCACGGTTCCATTTCTTTGCAGTGGAGCCAGCGGGGGGGAGGGGGGGGGGGGGGGACGAGGGGGCGTGACCGGACCGCCCACCTGACCCAGCCCTCCTTTCCCTGGCATTTGCAGCTTTGGCGGGAAATAGTCTGCTCCTGACGGTAAGGCTGTGAGCCTTGTCCTCTAGACCCTAGGCCAGCGGGTCAAGGGCTCAGGGGCACACTTCCGCCTCCGCCCCGGGAGGAATGTCAAGAGGAGGGCCGCTGGATGTCGCAATACTTAGAAGGAACACAGATGAAAGGGCAGGCCCCATGGCCCGGGAGTCAGAGTCTTCCCAGAGACAAGTGTGAGCAGCTCTCCTACAGTCTGCCTGCTGAGGGCACCAGGACAACCGGGAGGACAGAGATGTGGACAGCTCCTGGGGGCCAGCTCTCCCAGGGCCGTCTGGCCCTTCTGGAGCTCCTTCCCCTGCCTCTTTCACCCTGTTCTCTCTCCTCACCTCAGGTGCCCAGAGAATAAGTAGGTGGCCTCAGTTCTCAGCAAGGAGGTGGCTTATGATAATAAGATGCAATACTTATACGACTCTAGGATCTGAGGAGCAGGACATTTGAATCTTCTTTCTAAATACAAAAATGGGCAGCCTCAACCCAATTAAAAAATGGGCAAAGGACTTGAACAGGCATTTCTCCAAAGAAGATACACATAAGGCCAACAAGCACATGAAAAGATGCTCAGCCTTATTAGTGATTAAGGAAATGCAAATCAAACCACAACGCAATCACCACTTCATACCTTCCAGGATGGCTATATATGAAAAAAAACCAAAACAACCACCCAAACGGAAAATAACAAGTGTCTGTCGGCGAGGATGTAGAGAAATTGGAACCCTTGGGCACTGTTGGTGGCAACGTAAAATGGTACAACTTCTACAGAAAACAATACGGTGTTTCCTCAAAAACTTAAACACAGAATTACCATATGATCCAGCAATTCCACTCCTAGGATATATAGACCTGAAAGAACTGAAAACAGGGACTCAAACAGATCCTTGTGAATGTGCACAGCAGCACTATTCACAACAGCCAAAGGGCCATCAATGGATGAATGGACAAACCAAAATTGTGGTACATATATACAATGGAACATTATTCAGCCATCAAAAGGAATGAAGTACCGACACTTGCTACAACATGGACGAATCTAGAAAACATTATGCAAATCAAAAAAGCCAGCTATAAAAGGTGACATATTGTATGATTCTATTTATACAAAATGTCCAGAAAAGGCAAATCCACACAGACAGAAGGCAGACCGGTGGTTGCCAGGAACCAGGAGGAGGGGGCAGGGGAAACAAGTGTTCAGTGGGTACGAGGGTTTATTCTAGAGTGACAAAACATCTGGAACTAGACAGAAGTGGTGCCTGCAAAACACCGTGAATGTACTAGATGCCACCAAACTGTTCACTTTTAAATGGTAATTTTATGTTATACAAATTTCACCCGAATTGGAAAAAAAAGTTGCCGAAAGTGAGGGCCAGGACAATCCACAAACAGAATAATCAGCTTCAGGATAACTGAGAGTTACCTTCAAAACCCTTCTTAGAATCACTTAAAGGAGGTAACTTTTAAGTTATGGTCATTAAGGCGGCCAGCAGGAGACAGCAGACACGCCCCCAAGACAGCAGTTCCCAAACTTCACGGCCAATTCAGGTCCACAAAGAAATGCTAGTATGTTTTAAACAATATCACGCACTCACACACACACACACACCCAGGCAAGCTGCACTAGCTATTTACAAGCGGAATATTGAGGCACAGCTCCCCTCTGCCAGGTCCTCATCCCTGATATGGCCACTCCAATGATGGAATCGTCATTTCCACCAAAGGGACCTAGGTCTTATACCTTGAAGCTGGGACAGAGAAACAGACTCCCAACAGGCAAGAAAAAACTCCACAGCTAAGCGTTCTCTGCTAACCCCTGTTGGCCCCCTTCCTGGGGCTGTTGGTGCCTCCCCAGCTCTCCAGCCATGGGGCTGTCCAGCCTCTTCCACTGCAGGTCCCAGAGTGGGAGCAACGATTCTTTCCGAGTGCACCAGGTGAGACGGCACCATGGCTAATCCCATCTCTGCTGTGGGGGGAGGGGGGTATTGGGGGGGTTGGGGGAGGTTGTCACCTTGAACCAGTCTAATTCCCCTCCCATGCCACACCCTGCCAAACATTTGTTTCTCAAAATTTCTTTTTCCAGGCGAGACACCCTCAGACATCTTTTTAAACCACTCCTCACAAAACATCCTTTTCACTATTTTCCTGGTCTCTGGCTTCTCTTTAGCGCCTACCGTCCTCCATAAACCGTGGAACTCAGAAGGCAGAACATTACAGATGGGGTCTGAGCAGCTCCTCGCTGTCTGTTCTGGACATCGTTCTCCTATTAATGCAACTAGAGAGCCAATCTAGATTTTTTACTTCCGATAGCTGCATCCCCCCTAAGTCATTTTGCTGCCAAGCCGCATATCCACAGGTGTCCTCTAAAAATGTCATCTTCTTGGATTCAGTCCACTGCTCTGGCCTATGGAGATCTTCTTGGGCCCTGACTCATTAACGTTTTCCTTCTCCTTCTCAAATCTGCCACCTGAAAACTTGATAAGCCTGCCACCAACACCGTTCTTCCTCCAAATCCTCATTTATAATGTGGAAGAGGACAGGGCCAAGTTTGCAACGCAATACATCCCCCAGTGTGACAGTGACCTGTGAACAGCACCGTTGGCCATTCAGAGCAGGTGTGGCCTTGGCCCACATTTCTTCCTCTTCCTTAGTAAGGATCTCATGGGTGATTGACAGGTGGGGCTAACAATAGCCCTCCCCTCCCCAGTGGCTGTAACCACGAGGCATAAAGCTCTCAGAGCAACGCACTGCACACAGTGAGCGATCAAATTCACCTTCATAACTGACGAGAACTCTAAGAAGAAGGAAGAAACCTGTTTTTCTAATTCCCAAACTTCTCTCCTTAGCAGCAACCAAATACAGACACGAGGCAGCTGGAATCAATAGGAGCACTGGCGTTCAAGAGCCGGGAGTCTGGATCCTGGCCCTCCTTCCAGAATTTCCATGCTTTAAGGTTAACAATACCTGCCCCCTCCAGGGCTACTGGGAGGAGTCAATGGGATCAGACAAGCAACAGAGGTTTAAAAGCTGAGTCAGGCTATGCAAACAGAAAAGAAGAGTATTACAATTATTACTGTTATAAATAACTCCAAGATACGACTTCCATTGGCAGAAGCCCCACTGTTAAACCCAGGAGGCCCCTATAGACGTGCTCAGGCTGCCAGAAGGCGGGCCTTTCAGCCCAGAGCAGCTGGACTGCCCCATGGAGCCCATTCCTGACCCCTCGCAGCAGACCAAAACCCAGGCTGGCTTATAAAGGGCAATGGGCCTCCTACCAGCCTGCAGGAGCACACTGTCCCTCCATCGTCACCTGGTGGAGACCAGGACCCGAATAACCTGCAGTGGGGATTTGCCGGTGATAAAAAGGGCTGGGAGGGCTGCTTTTAGTTCCCCCGAGGCTTGACCCCAACCAATCCTTGGGTTTCTGTTCTGAAGGGCAGTTTCTAAGAACATGAGGCATTTGGCTCTGACATCCTCAGGGCAGGCCCCCAGAAGCCCTGTTCTGGTCTCATGTGAGGACATCTGCCTCCTCAAAGAGGTCCCACAGCAGGGGCAGAGGGAGAGAGAGGAATCGGCATGGCCAACCATAAGCCCCCGGAAAAAGGGCAGCAGTTAAAATAGGAGCTAGATTCTCCTTTCCTGGTCCGTGTAAGGTTCGTTTCCCAAGTTCCAGGGGGAATGAGCACTGACGGCAGATTGTGAAGATATATATAGATGTATAAAATTGTTGGCAAGACGTTGCGGATCATGTCAATGAACCTATTAACACATCAGGGAGTTTGCCCAGCAACGCACTGGCAAGAAGAGGCCCAGGAAAGAAGATGATAATTTCCGTCGGATGGTTTTTGGAGTCCGCTGGTCCCCAAGCTACCTTACTCAACCTACCCGTGTAACAGTCTCCCTCATGACAGGTGGGCTGCTGAAGTCAGCTGAGAATCATCACAGGACACACGAAAGCGAACTCAGCCTCTCTCGTGACTCTCAAATATATTCTCTCTTTCTCTCGTTGTCTTTCCTCTGACTACACAGCCAGACAAAGAGACGGCGCCTGGTTCTAGACACGCACATGTGCAGGAATGAGTCACAGATGAATCTCCGCATCGCCGTGGTTACTGTAGTGTCTGATGCTCCTCCTTAACAGAGTCGAGGCAGGACTAGGCTTAGCTGTTTGGTGTTACGCGCTGAACTGTGTTCCCCCCAAATTCATATGCTGGAGCCTCAGTCCCAGCATCTCAGAATGTAACTGTATTCAGAGATAGTCTTCAAAGGGGTGGTTAGACTCAAACAAGGCCATTTAGGGTGGAGCCCTAATCCACTGGGACCGGTGTGTCCTTGTAAGAGAAGGAAGAGCCCCTAGGGGTGTGGGTGCACAAAGGGACAGCAAGAAGACAGCCATCCGCAAGCCAAGGGGAGAGGCCTCGGGAGAAACCACCTCTGCTGGCACCTTGATCTTGGACTTCCAGCCTCCAGAATTGTGAGAAAAGAAATTCCTGTTGTTTAAGCCACCGAGACTGTGGTATTTTGTTACGACAGGCCTAGCAAATTAATACAATTGCTATACCTAAAAACTGTTCATGTTCACTGGACAAGGGACAGAAAGGGCAGTACGGGGGGCAGAAGACAAGGGGCTCCTAACCTCTGACATAACCGTAGATCGGACGCAGCCTCCTCATCAAGGCGGGACGGTCTCCACATCTGGGATGACGGGCAAATCCAGCCAGCCTGGAGCCTGAGAGTGAGAGGGCCTCCAGGCACAGAAGCGGCTGGTCTGGAACTGCGGGACTCCGTGCCACAGCCCCGGAGGAACCAACGCCTTTTCTCAGCTTACTTTCTCCTTTGGCCTCTTACCCTTGTGGGTTCTGTTGAATGTATGTGTCACTGCTGTGGTTCCAGAAAAAGAGAAGACCGTGGGGGTGAGTGGGCTAATGGCAGAGCGAGGCAGCCACCAACATGTTCATAGCTTTGCCAAACCGACTCGGACCATCTGGCCCAACGCTGCCTTTCAACACGGATCCACTCCATTTCCAAATTCTGCCTGGATGCCTTGGTCCTCCCTCAGACTCCAGGACCCCACGGGAGCCTGCCAGACCCTGGGCTTCCCACTGAGTGTGGGGTGGGCAGAACCAATCCCCCAGGGACCAGGAGAGGAGATGGACTCAAAGGCTCAGGCCTGCCTAAGGGGCCCAGACACACAGGATCAACCACCAGTCCAGCAACAGACCCGGCATTGAGCTCTCCCCTGGCCGGCAGGGCATGGGGTGAGGTCGGGGGATGAAAGCAAGGAAGGAGGGTGTTTTGGAAGGTATTGCAGGCTGAAGCCTGGAGGTGCTGGAGGGGCGACACCCTCCAGGACACAGAACTGACAGGCTGGCAAATGGCAGCGCCTTTCTTCCCAAGGACCACACGGTGGGCGGGTTTGGCCAATTCAAATGCAAAAGCCCAGGGGCGAGGCCGGCTAGGAAAGCTCTCAGTATTCACTGCCATCCGTCTCACACTCCCACAGAAGGCCTGCAGGTGCCCTGCTCGTCTCCGCCTTCAGTCTGGTCATGAGGTTATGCACTCAGCGGGGTGGGGTCCCCCACAATCTCTGCTAACGGAGATGCACACCAAACCGGCACACCCCTCAACCCTGAGGCCTTCCAACAGTTAGCCTCAGACGCTGTCCCAACCTGAGAGACGGGAGGAGGAAAGGGGAAGTGTGGCGGGGCCCTAACCATGGGGGCAGATCTGAATCAAATGAGAACCAAGGACATCTGTGTCGCAGCCAGTGCACCCAGTTCGATGGGACGCCAGGAGGCGAAGGTTTGACGGATGATGTTGGGGCTGAGTTCTAGCTCCCCACCTCTGCCATGCAAGCCACCTGCCGCCTCCAGCTTTTTCTACTGGGACCAAAGGGTTGGCTTGTCCTTCACCACCTCAGGGGGGCTACCGTGAGAAAGGGCAGGGCTCATTCTAAACTGTAAAGGGCTGAAAGCAGAACACACTCATCATCATTCTTTGCAAGGTTAGAGGAGACCAAAAAACAAACCAAACAAATAGCGGTATTTCACATAGATGAGAGAAAACAAGGAGAAGCAGCAATCTGCTCTTGGCAACACCAGCCAGTTATAACCACGCCAAGCCATGGCCTAAGGGTCACATCTACTATCTTGGAAATTTCCATTTTCAATATGTGTGTGAGTCGGTGATGCTGGGGGTGAGGGGAGGTGTGGACCCGTCTGTGTGGGACCCAAGGACCTGGATCTGGGCAGACTCCCTGCTTAGAAGGCCTTTCATGCGGCCCAAATGATGTTTACCGTTTTCTCCCTCCTTTTCGATTTGTTTGGTTTAAAATATTTAACCCGAGGCACAGTGAAGTGTCTCGTTTACAACGTCCTCCTGGACCATTAGACTGGGACTCCACACTCATTATGCTGATGAACGTACAACTTACCCATGCAAATACCAGGAGTAGCAGACACAGAGAGGAGATGCTCAAGGTACCGTTATCAAGGGCTGGTTAATTACACAGCCATTCAGTGGGCAAAGCAGAGCAATTTTTAGCCAAATGTTCTAGTAAATATTATGGGAAAGCCTTTCATAGAGTGCTAATTCTGGCTTAGTGATTTCAAAGGTGACTTTAGTTCTCATTCAAACACGAACACGCTCCCCCAAAGATGCTACCACTGGGCCAGAAGACCAAGTAGAGAGAGCATTCGCCAGTGTGCCATCTTGCAGTTAATTATTATTTTTTTAATGTTATAAGCACTCAAGTATCATTGTCATTTAGGTGAGGACAAACTTTAAAACCCACTAACTCTCCTGCGGCCGTCCTCCTCTGCCCCTCCCCCAGGCTCAGAGGCCCGCCAACCGGCTTCAGGGCAGGCTGCGGACCGCCAGCTGACAGTGCTCCTGCGGGTTGGACAAAACAACCCGGCAAACGCATTTCGCATTTCGGACGTTTGAAACAATACCCAGTTGCTGCAGCCACCCTCCCAGAGCGCCCCAGAGGAAATGGCATCATTACTTTCATTTTACTCCGTTTGTGACCGACCAAAGGAAAACAACCCGTCCTAAAGCAATTATCGGGGTATCTGATATCTGCGGCTGGAGAGTGTGCTCCGGAATGTTATCAAATGACCTCGCGGAGAAATGAATTTCCAAGAGCTAAAATAACCCTCGGCTGCACAGCCTCTGCCGTTTCTCTAACTGCAGAAATGGATTTCACTTTCCACCGTTAGAACAGAAAACTCTCAAGCATCCCCGTTTCTACAAAAAAAAAAAAAAAAAAACTATAAATAACCCAGGATCAGCAAAATTATGCAAAACATCCTGCTAGAAGAAGAAATGTAAACTCGAATCACTTACAGAGAGACTCAGGCTGGCAACTCGATCTGATTCTACGAGGAGTGTAAACATGTTGTACTTTTGGAACCTGAAGCGATCCACATTAGCACGCATGCCATCACCGAAAAGGAAAAAAAAAAAAGGGGGGAGGAGAAAAAGCCCCCACAACTAAACACCAACAAAGCGCAACCCCGAAACAGAGCCCCGGATTCGGGGTTCTGCACGGTCCAGGGCCCGCCGGCTGACCAGCTGCAAGTCGGTCCCAGCGATCCGAGCCTGCACACGCCAACTGTTTTGACGACAGGCACTTGTTAAACAGAGAGTTTCAGGTCCTACCAGTTGGACACCAGAAGTTCACAGAACTGACCCGGCGCCAAGAACAAGCACAGAAAGCGAAACGGCTGCCTCGTGCGCCGTGTTTTTGTTAACTGTTTATGCAAGCCCCAGAGCAATTGGGTAAGAATTAAGAATAAAAAAAGAACTCAAATAACAAAAGCAAAAGATTACCACCTGGAAGGAAATGTCGACGTTGGCAGATAAAGGACAGACGTCAACCCAGTTCATTGGTGGGGTGGGTGGGTGGTTTTCGGAGCGGAGCAGTGGGGGGGAGGGGCAGGGGTCACGTGACAACCTGCGGTCATTAGCAGAAGGAACTGGGTGCTTCCTTGAAGCATCTTTCACTTAGAGGTTGACTTAAGAGATTTGGCAAACGCTGAGGCCTCGGAGATGGTGCACATCTCGGGTGACTGCAGAAGCACTGGAATTTGTAAGTTGGTAAATCACAGAGGAGAAAAAAGGGGCGTGCTCCGTGGCGTTTTCAAGACACAGGGAAGGGATTTCCAAGTTCCCTGCTCAGTGCCGTGAGGCCACTGGGCCGCCACATGGCAAGCAAACAGGGGCCGGCGTCCCTGGGCTGATTCTGACCTGGTCCTGAGCAGCTTGCCCTCTCCCCTTTGAGCTGAGGGTTGCTGGGGTCAGCCTTTCTCACTCCTCAGGACTGGAGTCTGTGCTCTCTTATGGGTGATAGTGAATAAAGTATTGTCATCTGGCAAAATAAAAGGAAAAGGAACACTTGAATTGCTTATTTAACGAGGTTTTCCATTTCTTTCCCAGAATGCATCAAGCACTGTCTCATTTGAGGACCAAGACAATTAACGGGATTAAATTTGGGAGTTATCTGAGGATTTGAGAAAACTGAATTCCAAGAGAACCGGGGTGTGGCTATAAGAGTGGGAAGTCTTAAACTGCAGAATGGACCCAAACCTACCCCCTCATATCTATCTATCTATCTATCTATCTATCTACCTATCTATCTATCTATCTATCTATCTGTCTATCTATCTATCTATCATCTATCTCTGATTTGAAGAATAAAGTGTTGCCCCTTGCCCACTCTAGAGTTTAGGGGATGGTAACGAGGAACCAGAAACAGGCAGTGTAACCGTGGGCCAGATTCACGTGTATCTGGATAGCAAATGTTCCTCTGGTTCTGGGGTCACCAGTACAATGGTGGTGCACAGGAACCCACATAATGGCTGTCACCTTCCTCTCAACGGAACCCACGTTTCATTACAAACGGCCGATAGAAGCGGTTTCACCGGGATCTGAAATGGAGTGAGACGCAGCAGGCGCCTGACAGATCCGGAGAGAAGAGCAAAGGCCACTTAGAGCATCTGAGACAAAGGAAGGAGCCGGGGAGGAAGAAGGCTGGGGGTGGAGTGGAGGCGGGGAGGGACGCCACGGGAGAGAAGGCTCAGGTCGGGCAGTGAGTCTTCGGCCAGCCCCAGCCTCGGGGTTGGCAGCTGACTCCTGAACGTGTCCCCAGAGCTTTTGTGAGCCCTGCCTCGCACGTAGCACCCCACAGTTTACATGCCTCCTTCACACACATCATAGTATTCGGTCCTCAGAAACATCCTGTGAGACAGCGCACTGGTGTCATCCCCAGTGATGAAGGAGGAAAGCTGAGGCTCAGGAAGCCTTGGGCTCGGTCCACAAATGATGACTTGGGCCGCTGTGTTGCTCTATCATTCGTGAAGCACTTTAAACATGGCGGGCTTTGTTGTCCCCACTCTCACAGACAAGGAAATGGAGATCCTGAAGAGGCCACACTGCAAACTACAAACAGCACGGGGTCTCCCAGCTCCTCATCCGGTCCTCCTTGCTTGCCTCTATCGTGTTTCCAGAACACGTAATGACAGAACTCCGGTAAAGTCGCTTTATTATAAAAGCCCACCAGCTCCCTTGATTCTCTCCAAACTCCCCGTCTTCACGGTTTTTCTGTAGCAGTCCACAGGCTGCGACTTCCTAACACACAAGAGTTCCTCTCCCCACGGGGACGTCTGCCTCCAGAGCTACCATTTCCACGGGAAGCACCCACCTCCACTCAGTCAGCACCCCGTTCTTCTCTAACCCCTGTGCTACCCCTGGAGCCTCACCTGACCCTGGTCTACGAAGCAGCCGGGGCAGAACGTCCCAGCAGGTCTGCCAAGCTGTACGTCACGGCCGCCTGCACCTCCAAGGTGTGCCGTCCCCCGTGTAGACGGGGTTTGGCTTGGCACAAGCTTTGGTGCTTCTCTTCTTCAACGCTGTGTTTCAAAGTTATGCTTTTGCTGAGCTCTTCTGCAACAGAGGCCACTGAAAATGTTGGCCCAAATGATGGGTCCCGCTGTCGTGCCCCTTCTCTGTGCCAAGCAGACACTCACAGTTTGATAGGGGTGATATTCCTATTATGGGATACATGTGAGCAAGTTCATCGCAGGTTTGGGGCAACTGTTCTGAAGGAACACGGTGGTGAGTTATCACACATGGCCCCGGGGTTTGCAGGGTTGAATGGAGATGTCTGCCAGGAACCCAAGCGCTCAAGGCCATGACCAGAGATGCAGAATGTGGAATGCAGGAGGGGAGACGGTCAAGAGGGACTGATTAGAAAGTTCTAGAATGTTCTGCCACCACCTTATGAATCTACCTTTCTCCCTGAAAACACAACAAAACATAGCACCAAAGGCCAGAGAAGTTGGGTGTCAAGATGGACTTTACGTTGAATGTCACTAAAGCAGCCTGGGTCGCGAAGACTAATCCAATCTAGCATCTCCTGTTAACTGGAGAGGCTCTGCGTTCCCGTGAGACGCACAGCTGGAGCCTCTCACTGGTTTATTTTGGGTTGTTTTGGTAACCACGCGACATTTGCATCCACTCTGCCGGAAAAGAATATGGGGATGGGGTAAATCAGAACAGTCTTGGCAGGAAAATTCGTTTGCTTACAAGATACAAAGCAAGTAGAATATTTCCACGCACCTTGTGACTCCTCTCAGCCTAGAGACCGTTCTTTGAAAATCAAAAAGTAGGACACACCGTTTGACAAGCGCTGGCATATTTAGGGAAGACAGGGGTAGGGTATTTAATATCAGAACTTCTGAAAATCTGTGAGGCACGGCCACCGAACTTGTAATATCAAATTAGTAAAAGTGGGCTAACAGACATGGAATATTAGCAGAAGTTTGTTGTACTTCGTACCAAAGGCAGTTAGTTCTGCCACAGACCAGACAAACACAGTTTTGCTGACGGATGCGGTGGTCTTGGGAAGGCTGGTGAGCACGGTGCATCCAGCCGCGGAGCCCGACAGCACTGATGGAGACAAAGCTGGGGCTCGTGCTCTGGGCATTTAGACTCCCTCCCAGCGAAGGGAGCCGCCTCAGAGTACAGAGGACTGGTCAGGGACCACGAGGTCTTTCAAATGTGGCCTGGATATGCGGAAAGCTGATCAAAAACGGGATGGGGCCAAAATAGGATGCAGGCCTGAGCTGTCAGGAGACAGAAAGGCGTGGTAATCATGTCAGCGGCTGTGGCTGCAGACCTGGCTTTACCCCTTGGGTTCTCGTCCCTGAGACCGCCCTGTGCACTTCCGGGTGGGGACCAGCGGCTCAGCTCGACACTCTTCACTTTTGCCCCATTACCTGGTTCCTAGGACTGAGCCGGCCTGCTCGATCTTACCTGGGACTCGCTTCGGGCTTAATCCTTTGCGATGTGGACTCATGACCAAAGCCATGGGGCTGGTTTGGCACAGATGGGGGCCACCTCCCGAGAGTCTTCAGGAGAGTGCCAATTTCAACCGGCCTTAGCCAGTCCTGTGCTACAATCTGAAAAATGACTTTAAACGTGGGTTGAGTGGAATCTGGACCACTGGACTGGAAGTTCCCTGAGGGCCAGTTCTGAGTCTCATTTATCTCTGTAGCCAATGCCTAGCCAGAGCAAAGAAACCTTGCTGCGTGTGTTTAATATGTTTTTTTTTTCTTTCTTTCCTCTGAGGAAGATTTGCCCTGAGCTAACATCTGTGCCAATCTTCCTCCATTTTGCGTGTGGGTTGCCGCCACAGCGTGGCTGGTGAGTGGTGTAGGTCCACCCCCAGGATCCGAACCCATGAACCTGCGCCAACAAAGCAAGAGTGCGCTGAACCCAACCACTACACCAAAATACACATTTTGAATGAATGAATGAAGTTCCTTTTAATGTACACCACAAAGATATATGTAGACCTTACTAGGTATACCTGGAAGGGGAGTATATTTATGGTAAATATGTATCAAATTTGGTATTTTAATTAAATTTTAAAAAGTATAATATTTTGTTTTATATTTTCTAGTTTCTTCCTGCCCACCGCACCCCCCCCCCCAGCCC